TGTCTGAATTATCCCTTCATTTAGAATATTTTGTTTTAGGAATGAATTCATTCAGCTTTCACTTTTCTCTCCTGTTCCCTTTGCTATTAATGTATTTTATTGATATACTTTATGTTAAATAAGCCATGTCAGTTTTTACTGAAGGCTATCAAAGTCATAACACAGCAGAAAGACTGACCAGTTAGAGATTTCATTTGAGAACCCACTTCACAATTTGTAAGATTGATAGTAAGATTACATTTGGTAGAGAATGTCAATATTTCTTGATCTCTAAAAACTTTATGATCTATGTTGGTCTTTTCAAAAAATCATTTTTTTTTCCTAAGACAGGTTTACCCAGGTTGGTCTTGAACTTGCTATGTAACTGAGGATGACCTGGAACTTAGATCTTCCTGCTTTCACCTCCTAAGTGCTAAGATTACAGGCATGTACTACTGTGCATGGTTTATGCTGTTCTGGGATGGAACCCAGGGCTTCATGCATGCTAGGCAAGCACGCTACTGACAGAGCTGTATCCTTAGTCCAGTATATGTTCTTGAACTATTTATTCATCCTGTTAATTTGTAAATCACTGAGCCAGGACTAGGGGAGAGACTTAATGCATGCCAGACCACATTAGACCCACAGCACGCCTCCCAAATCAGAACATAAGACAACCCCATTACCATCCTTCCCTCCTTCTCCAGTCTTCATTGGCCTTGAACTGGTGCCCTCCCAGTTCAGCCCCCAGTGCTGGGATCATAGACATGTTCACCAAACTTGGCTTCTTTAAATTAAAACTTTTTTCTACATCAAAGCTACTTCAAACTGTTTTCTTTCTCATTTTCCTCCCTCTTGCTTTCTCCCCATGCCAAGCAAGTACTCTTACCCCTACCTATATACTAGCCCAGGAGCTGGTATCTGACCAGTTCTCCTCTTGTGTGTTGAGGAATGAAAATAATTGTGGCTGGGCGGTGGTGGCGCACGCCTTTAATCCCAGCACTCGGGAGTTTGAAGCCAGCCTGGTCTACAGAGTGAGTTCCAGGAAAGGTGAAAAACTACACAGAGAAACCCTGTCTCGGGGGGGGGGGGGGGGGCAAGAAAAGAAAAGAATTGTGGTATGCTGGAATTTGGTGGAACAGGAATATTTTGATTCCGTTACTGTATTTTCAAAGTATTTTTGTACTAAAAGGGTTTGAAAGTCAACAACAAAACTAAGGGAATGGGACAAGAGACAGTTAGCTATTATCATCATTTTTTTTTTTTTTTTTTTTTTTTGGGTTTTTCGAGACAGGGTTTCTCTGTGTAGCTTTGCGCCTTTCATGGGACTCACTTGGTAGCCCAGGCTGGCCTCGAACTCACAGAGATCCGCCTGGCTCTACCTCCCAAGTGCTGGGATTAAAGGCGTGCGCCACCACCGCCCGGCTATTATCATCATTTTATTAATATAAGGTGCTTATGCAAAATACTGGTTTAATACAGCTACTTAAATGCTATAGAAGCTGTTATTCTGAATTGTTAGATGTTGATTAGTTTGTTTTCTGCTACTATAATGAAAAACCTGAGTTGGGTACTTAACTATCACAAGAAATGTATTTAGCCCACAGCTCTGGATGTTCAGAGATGTGGGACCAGCATGTGCTCTGCTCTGCTAGTTGCTTCTGTCACGTCAAATGGAGCTGCCTTCTTGACAGGGTGCTGAGGGGGATCGGTGAGATAGTTATCACTTGTTAGAAAGTAGGAGCTAAAAGTAATCGGAAAATTGTATATAGAAATCCAAATCACAGACACTTAAGTGTAACTTTCTTTTAGAAGAATATACTGAGTAGAAAAATTCAGTATCTGATAATGTATTAAGTGGTTTTTTTTTTTAAGTTTATGTAGTATGTGATATAATGAATATCTGGGTTAGACTAATTGTATTTCATAGGAGTACAATTGTCAAATGCTTATTTAAGAAATGTGAAATACTGATTTAAGGATACATTTATTTAATGAACATAATAAAATACATTTATTTTTTGATAACTAGGAAGAGGAGTTAAAGGAATTTACATAGTAAGCACTACTAGAATAAAGAGGTGGAAGTGTTATTTACAATGTATAATAACTTTTTCTAGAGTTTATTCATTGTAGCAATGTATATCAATATGTAACAGATTGCTACAAATAAGGTGATCATGTGTCAAGAAACCTTTAAAAAATTACAGTATTTCTTTAAAATGAGAGACTAGTTCTGGAGTTAAAACTCATAAAGATTTAAAAGTTTTGTTTAAAAAGAAATAAAGTACTATCAATTCACAAACAACATTTTGAACATTTTCATTTCCCCCTTATTGTAGTTGAAGTCTGTTCTCATTCCTTATAATAATCAGTCTATTTGATCATTTGTTTTGATTTATTTTAATCTTGAACTCTTGGAGTTTTGTCATAGTTTGAGCATGTGTATCCCCTTCAATTTTCATGTTGAATCTTTAATTCCTAGAGTACTAGTAGTGTGAACAGGTGGAGCTTTGAGGGGTGGTTAGGCCATGTGTGCTCTGCCCTCTGGGACGGAATTAGTCACTTCAAGGGCTGGAGAGGTGACCAGCCTGGCCATTTTACCCATCTGTCCGTTATGCCATGTGAGGCCACTACAGTAAGGCACCATCTTGGAAGCAGGAACTGGTCCTTTACCAAATACAAATCTGACAGTACAGCACTGTGAGAAATAAGTTCCAGTTATTTATGGAGAACACAATGTTAAGTATTTTGCAGTACAAATGAAATAAGACAGACTTACTTTTTGTGCCCTGTGTAGTTATCTGTGTTCTCTCTCTCTCTCTCTCTCTCTCTCTCTCTCTCTCTCTCTCGTAAGGTTGGTAAATTGGGGAGGAATTACCATTTAGTTGACCATTGTTCTGTTTTGGTTAGAAGGATTTAACAACAAAAGTCGCCAAATCTTCCCTTTCTATCCTGCCACCCACAATACCTTCCTCTCTTGGTTCTTTTGCTTGCTAGGTGTAAGGGTATACTGCTCTTGGTGAGTGTTCCTATAGTTTTGTGGTAATGTTTGGTTATAAAATAAGTCTGAAATATCTCAGTGATCTTTTTTTTTTCTCTAATAGACATAAGTTTCATTACTAAGTGTAAATTCTTTTCTATACATACAGTGTTTCTCTTCAGGAGACATAACATGCATTATGGAATTAGTGATTAAAAAAACCTTAAGGGCTTTAGGTTTGGTTTTTGTCATTTAAGTTAGTAATTATAAGAAAAATGAAATTACAGCATTTTCAGGAAAAACAATGGAACTGGAAATTATGTGAGAAAAGCCAGATTCAGGCAGGTATCACATGTTTTCAGTCATGGGGATTTAGAAAAGGTGAGGGGAGATATAAAACCAGAAGGAACTATTAGGGAAGAGGGAAGGATTAGTGGGAAGAAAAGGGGCAGAATGGAGAGGGATGAGTATGGTCATGATCATGGTATGAAATAGGCATAGATGGGAAAATTCCACAATGGCACTCATTGTTTCATGCAATTAATATATGGTGAGGAAAATAAAGAGGGAACCTCAATGCATATTACTAAGAGAAACAGTTTGAAAAGGATATAAGCTATGATTCTAAGCAGATAATATTCTAACGAGGGCAGAACTATGGGGACAGTTAGAAAGGTCAGTAGTAGTCAGGGATTTGGAGTAGGAAGGAGTAAGTAGGCAGAACACAGATGGATTGTTGGCAGTGAACCTCTTGAGACACCACCGCTGTGAGTGGTTAATAGATGTCTTACATTTGTCAAAACCTATAGGGTGTACAACACCAAGAGTGTAATACTCTAGAAACTGTATTTTGAGTGATAATACTGTATCACATAAGGTTCATTGATTTTTTTTTTTTTTTTTTTTTTTTGGTTTTTCGAGACAGGGTTTCTCTGCGTAGCTTTGCGCCTTTCCTGGAGCTCACTTGGTAGCCCAGGCTGGCCTCGAACTCACAGAAATCCGCCTGGCTCTGCCTCCCGAGTGCTGGGATTAAAGGCGTGCGCCACCACCGCCCGGCGGTTCATTGATTTTTAACAAATAACGTACTCTGGTGTGGGGCGTGAATAGTAGGGGAAGTTGTATGTAATTATAGATGCCTTGTGGAGATTTTTTGTATAGATTTTCTGTGAACCTATTTTATCTCTCCATATTCTGTTGTTGCTTGAATATCATAAGTTCCACATAAAACCTCAGTTTACCAGATAATCCTATTTTAAGTTGATCACTTTTTCCTTAGGTCTGGGTTTACTTATGTCTGTGTAATGAAATTTATCATTTAACCCTTGCTAATTAATAGTTATATAAAACTTAGGTTAGTTACTTGCTTTTCTAGTTTTTGTGACAAAATACCTCACTAGAAATAATTGAAGAAAGGCTTTATTTTGTCTTAGAATTCAAGGGGATAAATACCAACTTGGTGGGGGAAAGTTAAGTGGCAGGAGCAGGATGCTGGCTGGGCACATTGACCAGATTGTCCAGTCTGAGCAGGAAGCAGAGATCAGTGCATTCTGCTTGTTAGCCAGCTTTCTCTTTTTTATGTATCTGGGGCATGCTTCATTCACAGTTATTTAGGGTGATCTTCCCATTTTATGTCATGTCTAGAGATTTGTTTCCAAGGTGATTCTAGGTCCTGTCAATTAAGCAACTCTTTGTTTCTTGATCTAAGTACTGTGGAAAGATACTGGGTTTTTGAGTAGGTGAGATGGCTTAATTGAGTAACGGCACTTGCAGCACAACCTGTCAGTCTGAGTTCAGTCCCGAGAACCCACTTCACAGGTAGACAGTAGAGGACAACAGCTCTGCGCAGTTATCCTCGGACGTCTGCACGTGAACTGTGACATGACGCACCCCGTTCCCCCAATAACAATAGATAAATCATTTTAATAAGAGCACTGGGTTGTCCACAGACTGATAGGGTTTGTTCTTTCTATGTGTAAAGTGATTTCTTTCAGTTCAGAAACTTTTAAGATTTTTATGGTTGGTAAATGGCAAACAAACATTCTCATGATTTATCCTATAGGAAACTCCTTCACAAGGAGAGATGAAGAAGAAATCTGTGTATAATCAGAATGTGGGTGATCAGGAGTGTGAAGATATGGAAGGTAACTTTGTTTTTTATAAAGCCCGTGTGTTGAAAGTCAAACAGTGTCACTAGACTTTAAAATTAAGATTTCTGAAGTTTTACACTCTGTCATTTTTATAGTATCAAGAATTGCACACTTTTCCTTCTCGTGTTTTCATTGATTGAGCATTTTTAGTTAAACTGCTGGTCTCCTCCTCCTCCTCCTCTTCCTCCTCCTCCTCTTCTTCCTCCTCCTCCTCCCCCTCCTCTTCCTCTTCTCTCTACTGGTTTAGGAGTTTCTGGGTTAGGGTGTGTGTATGTGTGTGTGTGTGTGTGTGTGTGTGTGTGTGTGTGTGTTCCTGTGCATGTACATGTGTACATGTACGTGTGTGTGGAGGCCAGAGGACAACCTTGGGTGTTTGGAGTGTTGTTCCTCAGGTACCATTTTCTCTCTTTTCTTTTGGAGACAGGGTCTCTCATTGGCCTGGGACTTTTCAAGTTGGTTGGCCAGCAAGCCCCAGCAATTGGCCTGACTCTGCCTCCTTAGCACTGGAATTATAAGCATGTGTTACTGGCCAGCTTTTAAAATGTGTTTTCTGGGAATTGGCAAGCATGTTACTCACTGAGCTATTTGACCATCTTTATTTTTAAAGTTTTAATAGTTAGCATTAATATTTTCTTATCCTGTATAGTTAATCTTTTTGTTTGTTTGTTTACTTTAAGTGTATGGGTATTTTGTCTGTGTTGTATGTCTGTTATTATGTGTGTGCCTAATAGAGTTTTTATTTGATAAGCTTGATCTGAAATCCTAAATGCCCAGTTCAGATATTCTTTATAGAATTTGTATTTCCTTTATCCTAGACTCATACTGGAACCATGTGAGCTCCATTTGATTGTCTTGGTTTAATTCTGATCTATCTTTCAGACTAGTGTGTTCCCCTGTCTGGGAAGGCTCCAGGTTGTATTGAATTGTACAGTTTCTGTTGCTTGCTTATGACCCAGTATACATGCTTTTGTGTAAGTTGATTACTGTTAGGAGTTTAAATCGGTACAGGTCTCACAGAGACAGATTTGGACATCTATTCCATTTTTTAAGAATTGATCTATAGATACACTTTTTGAAATGTGAGATGATTGCGTTACGATGTAAGCTCTTTAGTAGAGTACTTGCCTAATGCGTGGAGTTCTGGGTTCCATGATCAACATTGTTTGTCATAGCCAGTGGTTGAAAACAAATGAAATGTCCATTAATGAATTATTTTGAAAAAGCACGTTAGTATGTATAGTATTCTGGTGTTTATGTGAAGAGAGAAAAGAAATATGGAAGAGTGTATATTAGGGTTAACCCTGGTTTGTTGCCTCACCCCTGTGATCCTAGTGCCTGGGAGCCTGAGAGAGGAATATCCTGAGTTTGGAGCCAGCCTACCTATTTAGAAACACTTTTCTAAAAAAAAAAAAAATTTTTTTTTTTTGAGGCAAGGTTTCTCTTTGTAGTCCTGGCTGTCCTGGAATGTGCTCTGTAGAGCCAGGCTGGCTTTGAACTCAGAAATCTGCATGCCTTTATCTCCGGAGTACTGGGATTAAAGGCGTGTGCTACCACTGCCTGACTGAGAAACTATGCTTTTAACTGAGGGAGGGTGAGGATGGAATTGTTTTCTGTGCATTAAAAAAAATATTGGAGTAACAAAAAAAACTTAAGAGCTATTGTTGGATTTGGTGGAAGTGGTTGAGTGTATGAGTAGGTTTGTCACTATAGTTATTTTTAGTTACAACATTTGAACCAGGTAAATAATACTTTAAAATTAAATTATGGTTTATTTATGTCCCCATTCCCCCACTGAAATATGAAAGTTGATTGAGAATGTATCTAAGTGGTAGGTAGGGCATGTGCTTAGCATATACAAGGTCTGAGTTAAATTTCCTAGAATCTTCCTATTCTTTCCATAAACACACACACACACACACACACACACACACACACACACACACACACACTACACACAAGGAAACGTTGGTGTTATTGAACTTAGAGTATGTTTGTCATTTATCTAAGATCTAATTGCAGAGTAGGAGGTGTGGCTCGAGGATATTGCTTATGAGCGTAAGTCTTTGGTTTGTGGGCTTTAGAAAACATGACTGTTTTCTTTTTTTTACAGGTGAAGAAAACAGAAATAATGCTGGTACCTCTGGCCTATTGTACAGTGAAGCAGACAGATGTCCAATATGTCTTAGTTGCCTCTTAGGAAAGGAAGTTGGTTTTCCAGAAAGCTGTAATCATGTCTTCTGTATGACCTGTATTCTTAAGTGGGCGGAGGTGAGTCTGAGAGTAAGTGTGGGGAAGAGGTTACTGCATTTCATTTCCTATACAGTCTTAGTTCGCTTCAAGAGTGCTACTGCCTTTCATAAATTATTTTGTATAAAGATAATTTCCCCGCTACTTTAGGCATATTTCCCTGTTTGTTCGCATTCTGTCTGCATATTTCCTTTTTTTTTTACTCAGCCTTTTCATACTTTTATAATTAAAGGATTTTAATTTATACTTTGAAGAAAACCTTACAGAAAGAGCAGGCCAAACATCTTTCTGACTCTTTGAGGCTATTACCTGCTGGCTACTAATAACATCCCTGTTTGCTTTTTTTTAAAAAATGTTTTTCAGAGAATTTTTAGAGGTTTATTTGAGTTCTTTATATTAACGGATGGAATAACTGGAATAGATGTTATGGTGTCTTTTCACTTTAAAGCTTACAGATCTTGCTTATTATGTTCTGTAATTTGGCCTAGATCTCACAGCTTGGGAGGATATTGTCAATTCAGAATTATATTTTATAGTTGTTATTTTTAATTAATTATAAATTAATTTCAGAGTCTGAGTTACAGATTTTACTTTAGAATCTTTTAAAAAATAATTAAGAAACAAGATATTTTGGACTTTGAATATATTAAATCAGTTTGGGCCAAATAAATTGAAGTATATGTTAATCTTAAGCCCTGTTGTTATAAATTATAAATTTATAACAATTTATAAATTTAAATTCACTGTTTATATCATGCTTTCTGATTTATATTTTGTGAGTGTATAAAAATTAGTAAATTAGTAAAAGTTAGGTGTATCTCAAAATTGTTTTTTCTTGTACTTGGATGTTCCTTAATCTCATTGAAAAACTAACTTCATGTATGAGAATGCTGTCTTTCTGCTTACCTCTGCAAGAGGTTCGTTATACTAGTTGAATTAATGAATATATGAAGAAACTTTTAATTTAGATTAAAAACCTAACTAGTCTTTGACAAGAAGAGACTACAGATAGGTGAAAATATATTTTTGGGAAAAATAATAGAGTTTTGGGAGAATATTGTTGTTAAATGTCCATATGTAACTGCAGTACTGATTACTGAAATAATGCCTTTTCTCTACCACTCAACTACAGATGTAAATTTTATTGGATTTAGTGCATCTGTGATGTATATGAATCTGACTGGGTGGGAGTTGAGAAACCCTGTTACTGCATGAGTTGAGTTGAAGGTTTCAGTCTTTTTCCTGATTGTGTTCAGTGGGTACATAATTATGAACTTCAAAAATACTGTGTTTTTCTTTAAGACAATTAGAATGTGCATGATTCTCCTTCCTTTCCCACCTCAAGTGCAGCTTTCAACATAAGCTTTATCATGGTGTACAAGTTACAGGTTTCTCTGGGGTACGTATTGAGAAGTCGTAATGGCTAGGTAGTAGACTGCACGTATTTAATGGCACTAAACAGTGGTAAACTTGACTATATTTTAATTCATATATTTTAAACTTGAAAATACTTGGCAATATATGTAAAGGTCAATGCCTTTTTTTACATATAATATATTCCTTGCTTTTTGTTACTTTGTAAAAAATTTAGTGTGTGTGAGTGAGTGTGTGTGTGTGTGTGCCTACAAAGGCCAGAAGAGGATATCTGAGCCCTTGGAGTTAGAGTTAAAGCTAATTGTGAACTTGCCAGCGTGGGTGCTGAAAGAGTCTTCTACAAGAGAGCAATACATGTTCCTAATTACTTAGCCATCTCTCCAGCCCTAATACTCTTTTGAAAATAAACAGTGAAATATTGAAGTGAAATTGCTTTTTCAAAATGTGTACTATTGTACTGCTGTCTTAAGTTGTGATTACAGGGTAGTGTGGAGTTGTAGTACTGTTTAACAAAGTAAGTAACCTTGGAAGGAGAGAAGAGAGAACATTCTGAACTATTTCATTGTCCCTAGTGGAGATAACAGCCATCAGTAAGCCAATAAATTGACCAGTAACAATAGGACAATCATATTAAAATATTGTTCATTATAAATCACGAATAATGCATGTTTACAGACTGACTTAGGCTTCTAAGTTTTCATTCAGTCTTTTATTGTGATGACAATTCATTATTTTAAGTACAAAGTCTGGGCTCTAGACTCCAGCAGTAATTTGCAGACATCTCAAGAGGAGCCTAAAGTTAAAATAATTTTTAAGAATCTAAATTTTTACTAATGTCCATTTCTAAGAGAGATATAGATATCAAAGTAAAATTGTGCAACTTGAAAATATATAAGAAAAAGCATAGAATGCATTCTGGATCATTTTTCTAGATTTTTGTGTTTCTCAGAGATTCAGCTATGCGGCAGTTTGTAGTTGAGGTTCACTGAAGTATGATTAAGAAAGAATATCAAGGGCTGGAGAGATGGCTCAGAGGTTAAGAACATTGGTTACTCTTCCAGAGGTCCTGAGTTCAATTCCCAGCAACCACATGGTAGCTCACAACCATCTGTAATGAGATCTGGTGCCCTCTTATGGCCTGTAGTCATACATGCTGTATACATAATAAATAAAGAAATCTTTTAAAAAAAAAGAAAGAAAGAAAGAATATCAAGCACACCCTCCCCTTTCCACCTTATTTTAAGCATTGAAGAAATTCTTATCATAAGAAACTGGTATTTAGAAAAGTTTGAATGTATTTTAGTGTAGTATTTTTTATTTTGTACACACTTCTGAAATTTATTATATCTCTAAAGTACCTCAAATATTCCTCAAATAAAAATTAGTTTGAATTTCTCTGTGTTCTAAAGTCTTGTTTCTGTAATTAAACAAAGAAACTAACAAAATTGAAGTGGTAAAGTAATTGACTGTCTGTGATCTCTGCATATATCATGGAATTTACTTTACTTAGGAAAAATGCTTCAGCTTAATTCCACTATGCCAGTGTTGAGGGCCCCCGAACCTAGTGGCCTGCTGTAGGTACACTAGAACAGATCGAACCTCTTAGAACTATGTTTAGTTAAGAGACTTGTTAGATGGCAAGCCTCTTAGCTTAAAAGTGTAACCAGGATGCATAGAGTTCTGAAAAGCCATTATGGTGCTGTACACGTGCAATCCCAGTACTTGGGAAGCTGAGGCAGGAGGATTGTCACAAGTTAAGAGGGCAGGCAGCTTGGGATACATAGCAAGTACCAGGCCAGCTAGGGCTGTACAGCAAGACTCTGTCTTAAATAAGAGGAAGGGGGAGTAGAAGAAAGAGAAATGCCCTGTTGACAGTTTTAGTAAACCATCACTGTTGGGGCTAAGAATCCCCAAATTTAGAAAAGGCCTTTGTACTGATATGTATGCTAGAGCCAGTGTGCTAAAGTTTACCCTTCCACCTAAAAGGTTTCTTATTCTCACACACTGCATTTCTCATCAGCAATTATGAGCATTGGCCATTGTTTCAGAGGACCTGGTTCAATTCCCAGCACCCACGTGATGGCTTACAATAGTCTCTAACTCCAGTTACAGGGGATTTTACCCCATTTTCTGTCTTCTGTGGGTTTTTACATTCACATAGTGCACACACATACTCTTAAGGTGCATGCGTGCGCGCGCGCACACACACACCTACACACACCTACACACACACACACACACACACACACACACACACACACACACACACACACGATGTTGTATGATACTTTGTGTTCTGACAAATAAAGCTTGCCTGGAGATCAGAGAAGCAGAGCAGCGGCCACTAGACTTTTTACTTGTACGAAATCTCAGACCTAATAGGGCATCCTGTCTCTACAAATCCTCAGACTGAAATGTAGGCTCCTGTCTACATTTCTCCAGGCAAGCTTTGTTTGTCAGAACACAAGCAAAATACCATACATCATCACATGAATATATTTTTAATAGAGCTTTGAGCACACCGAAGTTTAATTTCAACGATCTGAGCTTGCACATTTAAAATACAAAGGGGAGGGCTAGAAAAGTCTGAAGCATCGAAGGGAGTAGTGGCAGCTGTCGTAATTGCCATCCTCTACAGACCAGATATGTGCTTGCCTACATGTACTGAATAAGAAGATTGGATTTTACTCTGGGTTTGGGTATTTGGAGAGTTAAGGCTTGAGAACTTAGAGGCAGTGCATATTTACAGGTTTATACTATATTTATTTTTGGTGCTGAGTACTGATCTGAGAACTCAATGTTGAGCATGCTAAGCACATGTTCTGCACTGAGCTAGATGTGCTGCATTACAAGGACATGTATTTATAATGTGTGTGACTAGTATAGTCTTGATAACTACTGAGGTTCTTCTCTTTTTATGTATTTTTTTTTTTAAGGATTTAAAAAATGTAATTAGTTTCCCTACATAGGTAAATTGTTGAACTTATTTAACTCAGTCCTCTATTCCTGTGGAATGCTGACAGCTTTCGTCTGAGAATGAAAGGTTAATGAAGTCAAACTGGACAGTTAGCAAAGGCAGTCTTGAAAATAGAAATGAAGATACTCTGAAGGTGACACAGAGCTCCTAAAGGGCAGTGTTGAGGACAGACAGGTGCAAGTGTGTGTTCAGATGGATTACACAGCAAAGGTCAAGATCTGAGAGCAGCTGACACTTGTTACCTAAACAATATAAGAATATGTGTGAGAATCTTCATCTAACAGTCTTTCATCAGTCAAGTAAATCAATATGTCGATATATATTTCTATATAGGCTAGTTGTAAATGTCAGAATATTTAAAATGATCTGTATAGGCAATTGACTGAATTTTCTGTTTGTATACTAGGAAAAGAACCTTAATCATTAGATGTCAGACAACATTAGAGAAAGTATAATACTACCCTAGTGTTAACAGTGTATCTTGGTGAATGTGCAAACATTCCTTTTCAATGCAATACTGAATGCATTCTTAGTGTTAATTTTATCACTGACAGCCATTAATTTTATGAATGTGTTTCTGAAAGCTGGTGTAAAGAACCGGATGTGTGCTGGAGGTCCTGGCGCATGCCTTTAATCCCAGCACTCAGAAGGCAAGAGAGGTAGGTGGATCTCTGAGTTCAAGGCCAGCCTGGTCTACAGAGCAAGTCCCAGGACAGCTAGGGCTCCACAGAGGAAACGCTATCTCAAAAAACAAACAAACCAACCCAAAACAAACAGCCAAATGCACATTGGCAGAAGCTGTTTTGAATGAATGTTTAGATATGATAGGGACTATAGGTGAGCACTTTAGCTATGTTGGAACTGTCACTGAGGAAGGGGTGATGGTCAACAGTTCTAAAATAAGCACTAACCTCTCTAATGGTATGCATCCCTAAATCATCTTTGATTTTGAACTGTAATTTTGTACATAACATGTTTTATTTCTTAGTGGCAGACATAGGTGTTGTAGATACCCGTGAATAGGAAAACCTACCTGTAAGCACAGGTGTTGAGACTTAGTCTTTCAACACTTCCTTAACACTTGCTTCTCTCTCTCTAGGAGGGCTATCTATAGGCAGCCTATGTGATTGAGGATAGAGCAGCATCAGGAAGCAAGAAATATTAGAAACCAACAACCCTGAATTCCCAAATAAGGAAGGCTTCCTGTTCTTACATTTAAATATGGGTTTGTCTGAGCTGGGAATTTACAACGCTTCAGAATACTAGGGTATGTTATACTGAAATCATTAGGAAAGATAATTTTTTTTCTATCAAAATTGCCTCCTTATATAACAGTACAGAGCATTTGCTGTAAGATATGTGCTCTGTTTTTAATATACATTACACTGTAAAACAGTGAGCAAGTTCTATTAACTTTGTAGTTGTATCATAAAGTTGATTGGTGTTCTTAGATACTTTGATTATGGGACTAATTAGATTCTTTGAAAATTACTTAAAGTCACATGTTAAATAGGTAAATAATGGTATTTTTGTTGTATGATGAGGAATCAAAATGGTGAACATAAAAATTTTGCATATAAAAAGTTTAATAGTCTTTAAAGTTAAACATTTAAAACATTAATTTTTATCTATATTAGTTTTAAATAGGGGCTTTTAAAACTTTGAAGCTTAAAAATTCAGTTAGTATTTCTAGCCAAACAAACTACTTTGAAAACTATACTTTGATGACCAAAGTGTCTTGGGATTTTCTCTCAAATGTAGGGATAAGAATCCCTTGGGAATGCCTTGAAGTAGCCACTCTAAGCCATTTAAAAACAAAATAAACCCTGATGTAATTTTTTTCTATTAAAGCCGTGCAATTATCACATGATGTGTGATGTGATACTTGTACATATAATGAACTTTGATGTGTAAAGGGTACATTAAGAAAAATAGTCATTAATTTTTTAAACGTTTTGATTTTTCCATTGACTTCTGTAATTATTTTATTAAATGGAGAATAAATACTAGATTGCTGTTTCCTTCTTCAAATGTTCTTCTACAATATATATTTTTACGGATGACATGGGCAGTATTGTTTCCCAGCAAAAGCATTTTTATCTACTTTTCTGGTCTTATTTCTTAAACTTTTCCTACCTGGAAAAGATAATGCAATTTTAAGATTCTAGTGTTAATAAACTTTTCCTACCTGGAGAAGATAATGCAATTTTAAGATTCTAGTGTTAATTAAATCAGCTTTAGGAAAGTTAAGTGTGTCCAGATTGTAACACATAGTTGATGTTTCTCATTACTGCTGCTTTTCCCTGTTTTCATTTGGTGAGTGTTTTTGTATAGCAGTGGAGATCCTTATTCAGATGAGTCCAGTCAGACCCAAAGCAGCTAGTCATAGTGGGAAAAAAGGATGGAGATCCTGCCCAGAACCTCCACATTTGGAACAGGTCAAAGCAGAGTGGGAAAGAATGGTGGCTAGCTGGTGTGGAGAGGAAATTTAACAAGGAGAACAATGAGACGGTACAATTTCAGCCACTGACTGATTGGGTCATAAATTTATTGCAGGTAGACCAACAAAATAAATCATTTAAGAACTCGTTTCTCATTTTTATATGTAGCACATTGCAGATTTTCCTTTTGTTAGTTATCCTAGATTTTTGTTAATGTAGTTAAACTGGATCTTATGTAGGAACTAGTGTATACCACACATTTCTCTTAAGAATTGCAAACAATTACCATAGAAAGCTTAAAGTTTCTTTATTCCCATTTTCACAAGTTAGGTAGTTGAAGCACAAACAATCTATGTAACAGGGCCCGAGTTTGAACAAAAGAGAAAATAGGAAAGAAAGTAAATACAAAGCTTCTATGCAGCTTAATTTTCAACAAACACTGAAAGAAGCGTGTTTTATTTAAATGAAATAAATATTTTCATTTATTAACTGGTTAATCTTTCAAAATTATCTTTAAAATGTAAATAAAAATACTTGGAAACTTTAGAAAAATGAAAAGCACTGCATAGATTGTACTTTATATAGTTTCAATATAAATGTTAAGAATGTAACCTCTAAAAATTTCATAGGTAATGCTGACTGACAAGCAGTTCTGTTCTTAGGACATCAGTTCATTGAATTGAAACTGTATTTCAAATGCATTGTTAGTAAGATGCAGAGTACTTTGTTGCTACTTTTAAAATACATTTTTTGGTAGCAAATTAATAACATCCTAAATTCTGAGAATTTGAAGTGCCTTAAGGTCTCTTGTCAGAACTGGTTTGTTGTAGTAAGGCCACATTTTCTCTTTCCGGGTGGCGAAACATTGTCATGTTGGAGCCTGCTTACTAGTAATAGAAAAGTCACATTTTATTGAAAGTAACTCAGTTTATGTTTTAGCCGCTTTTAAATCACTCCATGAGTTTTGTGGAAATGTGTTATTATATGATCAGGGGCCACACGTTCTTTGTTCTACTTGTACTCATGTACATTTATCTAGATATAAACAAAAATTACATTTTCCTGTAAAGAATAGTATAAAGTGAATTACCTCAATTCCACAGCTCTCTTTGATCTTTTAGATGATTGCATTAAATTGCTAGGATTCTTTTTCACTTGTGTAACTATAGGTACTAGTAATGTACTATAATTAGTACATCATTAGACTGTAGTTTTTCCTCCTGTCCTAGTACAAAACAGTCCATCTTAAATTACTTTCATAATATAAATACATTCTTCTATATACATTTAATAATAGAGAATTATAGTTGATACATACAAATTTTTTAAAGCACAGGAATATATATCAAAATTAGGTTGATTTCTAATTCTAAAATAATTGAAAGACAAATTTCCTTACAAAATAAAGAACACATAATTAAAAATTAGAAGACTTAGAAACCTAATTTGAAAATTAGGTAAAGAGTATGGATAGATTTTTTATTTAAAGAAACATTTGAATATGCTCTTAAAAATAAGAAATAATGCTCAGCTTTATATGTCTTTAAAAAAAAAAAACCCAAAGTTTGTGACACACCATACTGTTAAGAAAAATTACTGTGAACCAATGTGTGATCATTAATTTAGAAGAAAAAATTGCAATTTCTCATATGAATTGTAACATTAAAAAGATTTATGAATATTGGGTAACTGCAAAAGTACATAAGAACTTACTTTTGGAGGGATTATTTAGGTCCAAGGAGACCAGAGGAAACTTCATTCTTCCATATTTTAGTCATGTTCTGATTGCTAATGTAACTATTTAGTCAAAATAATTTGGCAGAAATGTTAAATTATAGGCTATTAATATAAATGGCTTCCTTAAGGCATTCTTTTTATAGCTGATTTAGAATTACACAAGCTTAGCATTATAGCCAGCTTTACAAGGCAGAGCAGTAGATTTGAAATACAGCCTTGATTTTTACCAGTAGTTTTCGCTGGAGCAGCACGTCCTAATGGTGTCTTAGTGGGTGTTTTACTTCTCATGTCTACTTTGAATGAGTGAAGCAAATTTTAGCTGATTCTTGTGGTTTTGTGGTATGGTATAGTTGGAGTATTTTCTCTACATTTTGAAATTGGAAAAGTATATTTCTGTGATAGTGGAAAATTATAACTATTTAGTGTAGTCTAATTGTGATTTCTTCTAAAGACCCATTTGTAAATATATAATTTTTTATCACTTCTCAGATACTGGCTTCTTGTCCAATTGACCGGAAACCTTTTCAGGCTGTTTTTCAACTCAGTGTATTTGAAGATTGTGCTAAGGTAAGCTTAGATTTCATTTTGAGTTTAGAAAATTCATAGTGTTAACTGGAGTTACTTTGCTTTGATAGATTTCTAGTTAATGTTTTTCTAAAAATTATTCATCTTTAAGTTTAATACGTATTTCTCTTTAGCCTGGCAAGCTCACAGCTTTCAATGCTGGTTACTGAAATACTGGACCTTTTTTCCTTTGCCTTCTAGAGTGGGCATACCACAGTGGTCACCTTATATTGTACAGATGTGGTAGATTAGATGCTTTAAAAGAAGTTTTGTATTTAATTACAGAATACTTATATTTCCAAAATATCATCAGCATGATTGTTTCCTGTATTTTGAAACAGTTTTTAATTGGGCAGCACTGTAAATATGTTATTTCATCAAAAAATTTTAATTCCAGTATTGGATTCAAAGATAAGCTTCCATAAAACTTAAGCTCCAAATAAAACCATTATGAAAAACATAATTTGGAGACTAGCTAAATAAAATTAAACACAAATTAACATCTTTGTTCTTAAAATGCCATTGATGTTATTAGTATGAGTCATTATATTAAAATTTTTTCTTTAGTTTTTTAAATTAAAATATAATTATGTCTTTTTACCCTTTCCTCCCTTCGATTCCTCCCACGTACTCCTCCTGCCTTGATAGCTCTCATATTTTATGGCCTCCGGCCTCTTTTTCTTTAATTGTTGTTACATATATATGTTTGTGTATATGTATATCTATATATCCCTAAATATATAAAAACAACCTACTCTGTCTGTGAAGTGTTCCTTGTATGTATATGATTTCAGGGCTGATGACTTGGTATTGGATAGCCAACTAGGGACTGTTTCCTGGGGAAGGCCATTTCCTCTGTCTCAGCACCCCTTAGGCTGCTGTAGTTCTGTGTCTAGGGCTGAAGCCCTCTGAGGTCTCCCACCTCCATGTTAGTATACCTGTTGGTACCATCCTTGTTGATGGGACATAATGGGTATAGCCTCTCGGACATCTCTAGGACTCTCAGTCTCACAGCAGCCTGTTCCTCTGGCTCTTCTTAAACATGAGTAATATAGTTATTGTTGATTTTTGGCTTGTAAAAAGAAGCAAATAAATAGAAACATTCCTGAGTTCATGAGGAAAAGAGGAAGATAGGACAGGACAGTGGTGAGTAAGTAAGATGTATGAGAAACATAATAAATATGTGAAAATAAATGATAAATAGCTTAAGAAAAAAACCACAATGTATATGATACCTCGAAGGGAAAAATTGCTCTCCATGACAGCTTGGTTACTGGAGGGGAGGGCATAGAAAAACAACTCTTTTAGCATTAGTTTTCAGTGTAGGTATTTTTTAACTTGTTTTGGTATATTTTTATTCGTGAGTCTTGATATAAAGTACAAACAGTATTGCAATGCAAATAAAACCTGTTAAAAAAGAGATTTGTGTGCTGGGGAGGTAGCTCAACCAGTCAAGTGCTTGCCATAGAAGCATATGTACTTGAGTGTGGTATTGTGTTCCCCAAAACATTGTGCACCCTAATAAACTTATCTGGGGTCAGAACATGGAACAGGCACTAGATACAGAGGCTAGAAAATGGTGGCACCCACACCTTTAATCCTAGCATTCCAGAGGCAGAAATCCATCTGTTCAAGGATACCGCCAAGCATGGTGACACACGCCTTTAATCCCAGAAAGCGAGCCTTTAATCCCAGGGAGTGATGATGGAAAGGAAAGATATATAAGGCGTGAAGACCAGAAACTAGAAGCATTTGGCTGGTTAAGCTTTTGGCTGGTTAAGCTTTTAGCTGGTTAAGGTTTCAGGCTTTGGAGCAGCAGTTCAGCTGAGATTCATTCTGGATGAAGACTCAGAGGCTTCCAGTCTGAGGAAACAGGATTAGCTGAGGAACTGGCGAGGTGAGGTGGCTGTGGCCTGTTCTGTCTCTCTGATCTTCCAGTGTTCACCCCAATACCTGGCTCAGGTTTGATTTTATTAATAAGAACTTTGAAGATTCATGCTATACTTGAGTTCCATGCCTGCATTTGAAAAATAATTGGAGTGGTAGTGTGTGCTGTGATTCTTGCCCTGGGTCTCGCTGGCCAGCAGTATAGCTTACTTAGAAACTAGTTCCAGGCCTACTAGAGACCTGGCTTTGGAAACAAAAATGTGAGTGATGCCTGAGGAAAATACCTGAAGCTTTCCTTTAGCCTCCACAAGTTTACTCATACTTGGAAATAAACGTATACACAAAACAGAAGGATCTGCTTGTTACACTTGCTTATCTGTTTACCAAATACGCAAATTATCATATATGTCTTGGAGAAAAGTGTTAATATAATAAATGTATTAAATATATATTATTTAATAATTTTATGTATATAATAAATATAATAAAAGTCAAAATAGAGTCTCTGGAAGACAAACTATTTTCCACCATTTTTATGAAATTACGTTGCTAAAGAGATGTGTATGTTGCCCAGACTGGTCTTGAATTCTTGCTTTGTCTTGAGTCTCCCAAGCGCTGGCATTAATGGTGTGCACCAGTGTCTGTCTGTGACTGTACTTTTCAGTGAGACAGTTTTGTTTCTTGAACTTTGTAAAGATAAGGGAGAATTGAAAATCTGTTTGCAGTGTGGTATGCTAATAGTTGTGCTTTTCTTATAGATTCAAGTAAAAAGACAATTGAGAGAAATAAAAGACAAGGAAAACGAAAGGTCTTTTAAGAAACAACTCTTTTATCATGAAAGTTCCAAAAGCGATAAAAGGTTAGTGATTAACTTTACAAGTGGGATTCAGTATGATCATAAGTAATTGAGTAAAAAATAACTTGGGCACTTCATACAGATGTATAGTATATTGTGGTAAGGTTCACCTTCATTTCTATTATTCATCCCCACATCTGCTAAGTAAAGCAATATTTTTGCCTATATAAAGCCCAGTTAAAGTTGTTAGAGGAGAGAATCTTAAATGAATGGTAAGTGCCACTCATGCATGCTCCCTCCCCCCCCCCAGGGGAGAGCGCATGCTTTTTTATTTTTAAATTTTTTTTAATTTTTTTTGCTAGATGTTTCCAATTGCTCCTTTAAAAACTAATAACCTCTCATGCCTCTATTCTGCATGGCTCAGTAGCCAGTTATGATAAGTCGATAAGATTACTGTTTTAATACTAACATAATACAACTCATTGTATATTAAAATTTAGTTTAGCCTATTGCTATTTGATCTGAGTTTATGAGAATATTTAACTATTTACTGGCTTCCAGGATTATTATAAAATTTATGCATAATAGATTTGGGGTAGTGAATTAAAAATAAATGAATAAGCTAGTTGGTGGTGGCACACACCTTTAATCCCAGCACTGGGGTGGCAGAGGCAGGCGGATCTCTGAATTCCAGGCCAGCCTGGTCTAAGAATGAGTTCCAGGACAGTACATAGAAAAGTACTGTCTTGAAAATCCATTTAAAAAAAATAATAAGAACAAAATTTTAGGTTTTTTAAAATCCTTTTAAACTTTCATATCTACAGAAAAAGAAACACCATTGGAGAAGATGTATTATGTGAAAGATTTCATGATTTGAAGGTGTTGAATAGTAAGTAACTCTGTTTAAGTGTTCTTTTTGTTTGTGTTGTAACTTAGTGTTTGTGCCAGATTTCCTTCTCTCTTTTTTACCCCCTCAAGACAGGGTTTCTCTGTGTAACATCCCTGGCTGTCAGGAACTCGCTCTGTAGACCAGGCTGGCCTCAAAACTCGCAGAGATCCTCCTGCCTCTGCCTCCCTAGTGCTAGGATTAAAGGCGTGTGCTACCCCCACCTGGCCCCAGATTTCTTAGTAATATTTTGAACTTGAAAACAGTTGATAATAGAACTTCTTAGTTCTCTCCACAATTACTCCATGCTGCTTTGCTTTCATGGAGTTCATTTATGCTGTTCCCTATTCTTTTTTGTTCTTTTTGTTTAGGTTGGAGGGAGATGGAAGGAAAGGAAGTGTATGTCAAGAGAAAAAGTTTCCTGATTACTTAGTGTTTAGTAGCCTGTATTGCAGTCTTATTCCACATTTTCAAGGGCTGGTAAATGTTTGTGGATCTTAGACATTTGGGGTTTTCAAGTGTTTGCGTAGATTGGTTGAGCATTACCTTACGGATATTCTACCTATATTTTGTCCCTTGAGGTGAACATTAGGTTTGATTTGTGTTCATCATTTATAGTAAATTCAGCTTACAGAAAAAGCCTCTCAGGCAGTTCCCTTTTCCTTTTTTTGGGTGTGTGTGTGTGTGTGTGTGTGTGTGTATGTATATGGTATGTTGTGTGCTCATGTATGCCTATACGTGTACGTGTATGTGTCCTTGCATTTGGAAGCTAGAGGTTGATGTTGGTTATCCTCTTTAATCAGTCTCAATCTTAGGGTTTTTTTTTTGTTTTGTTTTTTTGTTTGTTTTTTGTTTTTTGAGACAGGGTTTCCCTGTGTAGCTTTGTGCCTTTCCTGGAACTCATGTGGTAGCCCAGGCTGGCCTCGAACTCACAGAGATCCGCCTGCCTCTGCCTCCCGAGTGCTGGGATTAAAGGCGTGCACCACCACCGCTCAATCTTAGTTTTTGAGACTAAGTCTTTGAATAGACCTGCAGCTGGATCATCAATTCAGTTAGACTGGCTGGCCATTAATCCCTTGGGATCCTCCTGTCTCTACTCCTCAGTGCTGGGATTACAGGTATCTACTCCCATAGTCACTTGTTATGTGGCTTCCAGGGATCCAAACTCAGGTCTCCATGCTTGCACAGCAAACATTTTACTACCTGAACCATCTCCCCAGCTCCTTTCAGGCATTTCTTCAGGACATTCTTGTTAACTTTGGAATCAATTAGTCAGTCTTTGAATGCCTGCTTAGCACTGAGCTTTAGTCTCAGAGTCTTGTATTATTTTAGTTAATATTGTACAAACAGATGTTTTTCTAGACTCTTCCTGAATTGCTTGGGAAAATTCTATAGTCTGGGTAGAACTTTACCACTAAATCCCACAGAAGAATGTTTTCATAAAATGTCTTAAGGATTGGTGTTTACTGAAGTGTGTTTGGCAGATACCAAATTCAAGATAATCCAGGCTACCAGTTTAGCATAGCAGATTGAACACCTGTTTAAGCCACTTGGAGAACTAGAGAGAGGAAGCACAGAAGAGATGACCTTGAAACCAGAAGTGTGAAAGTGGTTTTCTAAGGGATGGCAAAGTGTCTTAGCAGGAAATGTGCCCTTTCACAGGGAGAGTGAAGTTAACAATTGAGACAGTTCACAGGCCAGGAGGCTTCTGTTACATCTAAAGACATAGATGAGGGGTACTAACAAGAAACAGCTGTTTAACATTTTTCTTCTTAAATATTTTTTAAGATGGTCTCACTGGGTAGCGCTCGCTGTTCTGAGCTCACTTTTATAGAACTGTCTGGTCTGAGGCTCACAGAGACTTAGTTGCCTCTGCTTTCCAAGTGTTGGAGTCAGCGGTATGTGCCATGCCTTGGTTAAATAACAGTTTTTAAAGGTACAGTTCAACCTGTAGATTCTTATCGGAACAGAGTGGAGGAAAAGGATTATCCATTCAGACTGGAGAATTTCTCTGGAGTGGAGATTAAGTTCTGTGACATTCTAGCCAAAAGAGGACAGAGGAAACAGTGGTAAAGAGCAAAATTAAATCAAATGGTGAGGTATCAGGTCTTCTTATGATCATTTTCAAAAGTGTTGACACTTGTGTTATATTACCTTAAATAGGAGATAGGAAGCTTCCACTGACACAGTTTGACCCTTATGTGACTTGGTTGATGATATTTGGGAATCTACTAATGAAATCTCTTCTTCATTGTATGGAACACACTCGTCCCTAAGCCCCTGTGCCCTAACCACTATTTTTCATCTTATTTTAATGTCTCACAAACAGTTGAGGATTACGAGATATTTAAGGGAAATAACTATACACAGAACAGACATAGTCAGACAGACTCAATATTGGGAGATGGTACAACTTTAGAGATTAATATTCTGAGAGATGAAGCCATCAGTGTTTTAAGAAAAAAGAATTTTGTTTTTGCTTTTCTGATTTCTAGAAGTAGAGACCAAAGCCAGGGTCTTTTACCTGCAAGGTAAGCAAACTACCATTGACTTAAATCCCCAACCCTAAGAAAAAAGTTTTTTAAAAATCTTTTGTATTTTAGAAATTAAAAATTTTATAGAAATTTGAGATTTCAATAGAAGACACTACTTTAAAAAAAAAAAGAACCAACTATCAAAGAGGTGACATTTATGTAGGCGGTTAAACACTAGGTAAAGCTCTAGAGAGGAACTCTGGAGAAGTGAAAGGCAGAAGATTACTGTTTAAAAAGATTTCATTTATTTATTTTATGTATATGAATGCTTTACCTGCCTATACACCCTTATTCCAGGAGAGGGAATCAAATCTCACTCTAGATGGTTGTCAGACACCATGTGGGTACTGGGAATCGAACTCAGGAGCTCTGGAAGAACAGCCAGTGCTCTTAACCACTGAGCCATCTCTCTAGCCTCCCAGAAAGTTATTTTTAAAAGTTATTCAAAAGGAAATTTCTTACAAACACACACACACACACACACACACACACACACACACACACACACACACCCTACATTTAGGATTTGGAAAGAACTTGTGTACACCAAGTGTTTTATAATATCTTAGATGTCTGAGTAAGGAGAAAAAGGCAAAGCAGGTCACATATAAAAGGTTAAGGGTCAGGGTATCAGTAATAAGTGATGGAATTATACCTTGAAAACTGTTGAGGAAAATATTTAGTAATCTAGCAAATCTTATTATGTTCTGTTAAACTGTCAGTGCTTTTTTGGGCAGGAATAAAAATAAAGACATAGCAAATATATAAAGGACTTAGACATTAATTTCGACACACTGTTTTCTCAGTTCTCTTGAAGGATGTGTGTGCTTCACTAGGAGAAAGAAGATTGTCATCCTTAAGCAAAGAGCTTCTGTAATGAATTGTAGTCAGCTCCTGACTTGGCTGTAACTTTTATACTTGTACCCCAGTGTCAAGTGTTGATATATTAGGTAAGATAGAGTGAAGGCAGCATAGGAGATGGGTGGGCAAGGGCATGAGGAATCAAGATACATATGTCTTACGTGGTTAAAAACATCAGAAACCAAAGAAATCAAGAGAGAGATCAAGAGAGATGTTTAGAAATAGAAAGGCAAAGCTGGATGAGGTGGTTCACATCTGTAATCCCAGGACTTGGGAGACGAAAACACAGGAGAATTGCTACAAATTCTAGGCTATCATGAACTAACTACACTTTATATTCAGGGTCAGCCTGGGATATAGTGTGAGATCTTGTCTCAACATAAAATAATAAACATTTCAAGAAACACCATAGGGTTTCATGAATGCTTTTGGTAAGCAGAAATCAAGAGTAGATGGTGCTGTTTGTCTTCTTAAGTATGTACATTCTAGAAAGATGAGGGAGGGGATGTGTGTAGCTGGAAGTTTTCCTGTGTCGCGCCAGTCCTGCAGCTGCTCAGACCCAGGCAAATACGAAAAGGCTTATGTCCATTACAGATTGCATGGCCATGGCCTATGGCTCAGTTTTCGCTAGCTAGCTCTTAGAGCTGAACGCAGCCCATTTCTGTTACTCTATATGTCGCCATGTGTTCTCTGGCTTTACCTGTGTGCCGTTACATGCTCCTCCCTGGACGGCGGGATGGGGTCTCCTCCACCTGTGCCTTTCTTCTTCCTGTCTCTCTCCTGGATTTCCCGTCTGCCTTTAAGCTGCCTTGCCCCTGGCCAAACAGCTGTATTTATCAACCAATCAGAGCAACATATTCACAGCATACAGAAAGACATCCCATAGCAGATGTGTGAAATTATTTCTAGAAAATCACAATTTACAGATTTTTTTTAGATTTATTTTTATTTTATGTGTATTATATGTTTTGGCTGGTGCTCTCGAAGTTCAATCAGAAGAGGGCCTTGGATCCCCGAACCTTAAGTTTTAGATGGTTGTGAACTGTCGTGTGGGTGCTGAGAACCAAACCTGGTTGCAAGAGCAACTCTTAACCACTGGTCCATCTCTTCTAGCCCCAATTTAGAGAAATGAGTCAGTGCCGAGTCCTCTAGTGAGAGTGTTTATCACTGGAGCTCTCAGTACTCAGCAGTGGTAGAGAACCAACAGTTCTTTCCACAGACCGCTCTCTGATGCTGGCTTCCCAAAGGGGCTTCCAAGAGAACAGCATTCTGTATATATTCGTTAGGCAGTAAATGAATCAAAACAACTTAGCACCTTTAGGCCATAAAAGATACAGTGTAACTACGGAACAGCAATTCTGTATCTGGTTGAACAAAAATGGTTATTTGTAAGCTGCGGCTGGATACCCACTAAGTATTTTTACTGTTGGCTTTTAAAGGACTTCAAAATCTTTGTCTCAGCCTAGTGGTGGTGGCGCACACCTTTAATACCAGCATTCAGAAGGGAGAAGCAGGTGGATCTCTGAGTTCAAGGGCAGCTTGGTCTACAGAACCAGTTCCAGGACAGCCAGGGCTACACAGAGAAACCCTGTTCAAAAAAAAAAAAAAAGGCAATTAAGTTCCTGAACCCTGAACCCTTTGGCCCCCATATCCATATTACATTTGCAATACTAGCAGTATGTATGGCATGTTGGTGAAGGATGAATGATAATGAGGAAGGAAATTATTGTACTATTAAGTAGAAAATACGCTTTAACCATCAGTATTAACAGAAGAAAACTGAGGAAGTATGGTTTTGAGTAGCAGGAAAGAGGTCTCCTACTTTCTCCGTGGGCTTTGTTTGTTGTGGTGTTTTGGTGATGGGGTGATCAGTAGACCTTTTGTGAAGCAAGCAAAGCTGAAACTATAGTTGCCATTTGCAGTGCAGATGTTTTCTAGAACTCTGAGGAAATACCTCTGATTGTATCAGCAACAGTTTATGGTAAACCATAAATATATTGTAGGCCTTATGCACTGGAGAGAGAGCTCAGTGGGTCAGAGTACTTACTGTGCCAAAGTAGGAACCTGAGTGGATCCCCAGCACTCAGGTAGAGCCTGGCGGGGCAGCATGCTTGTATCCTGGCTTTGTCAGGTGGAGATAGGCAGGTCCTAGGAAGTTACCGCTACTCAGCGTAGCTGAGGGGGAGCTTCAGGTTCGGTGAGAAATCAAGTCTCAAGGGAGTGTCTCTGCGCCACGTGTGTGTGCACACATACACATGCACATGCACGCATGCACTTGCACACATGAGGCTTAATAGTGAAGGAAAACTAGGAATAGTAAGCGTGTTAATGGACTTTATTGTTCTAGGGGAGTTTATCCATTGTAAGGGGCTGAAGAGGTGGCTTAGCAGTTAAGATCACGTACTCTTCTTGTGGAGGACCCAGGTTTGGTTCCCAGCACTCAGTTCACAACTGCCTGTAATTCATCTCTGGACTCGGCACCAGCACTTACATGTGCATGCTGATACACAGACACATCACTCATATGTGTTTAAAAATAATAAATCAAGTCTGTAAACAAGAATATGTGCTTTAAACTGCCTATTTGAAATCACACAGAAATAATTTCCAGGTGAGACAGAACAGGAAAGAGAAAGTGGTAAGCGCGTGGCGGCAGCATTGCTGCGGCAGAAGCAGTGCCATTTAGCACTCCATGTCTGCTGAGCTGTGAGCAAGAGTGGGGCCTGGATCCGAAGGGTCGGTGGCTCAGGGACTTACGGCTAGCCAGGCCAGTGTTCTCACTTTGCCTTGGGCAGCTTCTACTTGACATGTGCTTGTAACTATCCAGTCATAGCTGGATAAGAAACCCTAAATGTGTAAATTGTACCTAAAGCTTAAAGACTTGATTGTAACTTTTTTTTTTTCAAGTTAAACATTTGCATCAGGGGATAGAAAACGTCTATTAGAATCACATCTGTAAGGCTCTGAGCATGACAGTCCTGTTTGTTCTTACCTTATGTATTGTCCCTTTATCTGTGGTTTAGTAAGATAAGATGCAGTTAACATTTGGGAAGTTTTTTTTTTAATGCAAATAATATTAGAAATGCAACACTGACATTCTATCAATGTCAAAGGTGTATAGACTTCAGAAATAAAATTTGAGGCAAGTAACCAGGTTCTGTTTTGTTTGTTTGCTTATTTTATAGGAATCTTTTCAAACAATAAAATGGGTGAGAAGAAAAACGCTACAGTAAAGACAAATAAGGTTTGTTGAAATAAAGAAATACTTTTTTCTTAGATAATAACATTTTTAGTTATTTAGTGCTTGAAGTGCAAACCCATACTTGAAAGCAGTTTTGTTTCTGCTTTCACTAACAACTTTTTATATTTTTAGGTTCGAAGATCAAATCAATGTACAGATCCTTGTATCGGACATTGCATGTCCAGTTTGTTTTCATGCGGCAGCCATGCGGGACCTCAAACCTATAGAGCTTACTGGTTAGTATTTTCAGCCTTACACTTGTGTTTTAATCATAATTAAACTTTTGGTAGAAATTTCTACTGGTGAGATTCTAGTGATGAGAACTAATTTTTGTTGTTGTTTCTGTTGGAAAACAAACGAGTTTCAGCAAAGAGAAAACTTGTTATTTGGTGAGTCAGTCTGTGGTCTACAATGCCTGCCTATGGCAGTGAGCTTTGTATCACTAGTAAAATGCTGAGTATAATTTTAATATATGCTGGAGAAACAAGGTATTTGTGAAATTGTAAGAGTAGTACCTATTAAATACCTAGTAGTACCTATTAAAATAGACCTATTTTAGAACTGATTCTTTCCTCTTTGGACACATAGTGATTTACAGATAGATGTTGACTGTATACTTGTGTGATTTACATATTGAGGTTTTAAAATCACACAGACTTAACTGAACCAACAAAGTAGAACAGAATGGTGATATTTTAGGGCTTGACAGAGTACTCAAGAAAAGCTAAGCTAAATCTAATTTTGGTTAAGATAACCACACCCCTTCTTATTTTCTTATTTTGTACTAAAGTCCGATATGATTGTTTTGAGTAAGAATTTCTCTCACCAGTTGGAGTTAATGACTGAATAGAAAGTTATCTGAATACCTCTTTGATCAACTGTCCACAATGGAGCACTGATGTAGTCTGGCAGTGCAGCAGGTCACCTTGGGCTATGTAGAAAGTTTGAGACCATTTTACAAGGCAGACAACATCTTGCCACTTAATACAGAATTCTAATCATTCTTTGTAATAAGCATTTAAATACAATTTTGTTTTGTAATGTAAAAAGTCTGCTTATTGTAGGGAGATGCTTATTTTGAAAGTGTTTATAATGCTGGGTGTAGAAAATACTGCTATTTCATAACTCAGTTTTTACTCTACACTTGTTAATTGTTGGAATTCTAATGAAAGTTTAATTTTTTTTTTTTTTTAGTACAGAATCTGTAGAAGTCAGTGAAATCAGTGCATTGATTAGGCAAAAACGACAGGAATTGGAGTTGTCATGGTTTCCTAATACATTACCTGGAATTGGAAGGTAAAAATTGTTCACTAAAATTTATATGCTAATATAAATACAAAAGTGTCATTAAATTCTTAAGTATTACATTCCATATTTGATAGGTATCTTCTTAAGATGTTTCTTATACAGGTATAAATTAGTATAAATTAAAAGTATATAAAATCTGGGGCTGGAGAGATGTCTCAGAGGTTAAGAGCACTGGCTGTTCTTCCAGAGGTCCTGAGTTCAATTCCCAGCAACCACATGGTGGCTCACAGCCGTCTGTATTTAGATCCGGTATCCTCTTCTGGCCTGCAGTCCTACATGCTGTATACATAATAAATAAATAAATCTTTAAAAAAAAAAAGTATATAAAATAAAAAGTATGAATTAAACCTTGGTGTTAGAAATGCCTAATGAAGATTATGTATGTGCTAGCTGCTGAAGCATTATTTCTGTGTTTTCATTTTCAAGCATACTCTTCTAAATAATGGTTTTATCAAGTGCCTCTTGTGTCCTGGCCTTCCGACTTTCTAAAATCCAGTCCTTTTTAATAGTCTTAAGGCTGGTGCAGTGCCAAATGCACACTACTGACTCAAGCTGCTACCTACATCCATGTAATAAGATTTTATTTGTCACTATGATAAAGTTCTGTATCTAATGCCTTGTCTAGAAATTATAGGAAATAAATAAAAATAAAATTATGAAGTCCAGATACTTACAGTTCGAACAATTTCCTTACAGTTAAACAAGTTGTATATTCTTTTCCCAATGTATTTCTCGAGAATCTCACCTGATACTGACTGAAATGGTCTTTTGTTAGGAGACTTAAATTTATTTAGAAAATGCTTGAGAAGTGGATTGGGCTTGAATGCAGAAAATCTTGGGGACTCTTAACTGGTCTATACCATTCCTGAGAACTTTGAAAAGATATTACTCTCAGTTTTAGAATTTTAAAATGTAAATGTAGCATAAAAATTTCTTCAGTAGGTGACCTGAGGGAGGGAGAAAGGTTCAGAAGAGTGGGAGGAGCTTATTGAGAAGATAGAAATGTTCTTTTTATGTATGAACATACATATTGGCTAAAAGTCATCAGCTTATATACTTAAAGGAGCTTGCATTTTATGTGAGTTCACCTTATAGTTGGTATTTTTTTATAGTAGTAGAAGAGAATAAAAGTTAAAATATTTTTTAAAGACCAAATTCTTTTGCTTTTTGAAGATGTATTATTATGTCTGTCTGTGTGTGTGTGTGTGTGTGTGTGTGTGTGTGTGTGTGTGTGTGTGTGTCTGTCCATGAGCAAGTGAGTACTTGTGTGGGTGCCTTTGGAGGTCGGGAGAGATTGGATCTCCTGGAGCTGGAGTCACAGGTTATCTTGTGAGCCACGAAGCATGCATGAGAGTCCTGAATGAGCAGCAAGTGCTCTTAGCCATTAAGCCATTGCTCCACACCCCCAAGCAGCATCTTGGTAAAATGTCTGATCACTTAAAAGAAGAAACAACTGTATTTTACATTACCTTCATCTTGTATGTATGTATCTATCTATCTATCTATCTATTTATTTTTTTTTTGGTTTTTCAAGACAGGGTTTCTCTGTGTAGCTTTGCGCCTTTCCTGGGACTCACTTGGTAGCCCAGGCTGGCCTCGAACTCA